ATCTTGAAAAAGTCCTCCCTATCCCACTCGTCGTCCTCAAGCTCCAACCGTTTCGACGATATCTTCGCCATGGCGCGAGGACGAGGAGCATTACTGCCCTTCGGTTTACGTCTCCTCTTCTTTCCTTTATACGGGACCTGCTCGAAGGAGGACGAGAACTCCCATCATCCTCCACCAGAGTAGACGCCAACGAGACGCTACCACTCTGCGAGCCCGCACGATCCACTATTATCCTGGACCCTATCTGGATGCAGGCAAAGTGAGGTCCACCACGCCCGTATCTTTGATCGGGCCAAAGCCGCCAGGAGCCGACGTGTCAGCCGACCCACTATCAGCAACAAGGGAGTTAACATTCTCCCCCGCCATCACTCTAATCCTCATCTCCATGAGATACTTTTTAACGTCCCCTATCCTCGGTCCCCTCTTGGATCGCAGTACTCTTCCCACAGAGGCAGGCTCGGAAGCCCCCGAGTCTTCAGTCGAAGCGCCCGCAACCGCGTCAGCCTCCCTACGGTCCAGAAACAATCATAACTCTTTCCTCCTCTGCGGTAGTGGAGATGGCGAGGCAACATCAGGCTCCATCTGCTCAGTCGGTGCCAGTCGGACCCAGAGGGTGCGGGTTCCTCCGCACTCAAGACTCCTTCCACATCTTCCATCCGGATGGTAGCAGATTTAACTGCAGGGCCCGTCGGCAACCTTGCAGTCAGCCCATCGCATGATGACGACATGCCGGGGGCAGGGGCATCCCCGGTCAGCCGGTCCTGAGTTCCGATTCCCAGGCGGTTATTTTCTTTTCTGGTGTCCATGTCATATTGTCTTGGTTGCCAGCGTAATAGTATGGCTGAGGAGCACGCCGACCAACTCCCCGGTTTATCTTCGATCTTCACGGCGTCGAGTTGATAGCCGCCACATCGCTGTAGGGAAGAAAAAACAGCAAAACTGCCCACACACACATGGAGGAGTGTCGATAACCTCGCAACAGTCCACGCCCAACACACCGCGCCGCGCGCGAAGAGAGACACCCGACCGACGATACTCCGAGTGCAAAAGGCGCAGATTTACAGTCGCCTCTCACTTGCTGGGATAGATCCAGTACCCCCTCTATGGCCGCTATTGAGCATATATTAACCACCGCCCATTTCGTCGCGTGGCCGCGCATCCCTACGGGACAGGGGGACCTTTTATAGAGGGTCCACCTCGTCCGAGAAGTCGGATGCAATCTCGGACGCTCGTTCTCTTCCAGTAGTGCAAGGGAAGAGATTACGAGAGCTCAGGCACCGCGAGTTCGCTAAACCTGTAGTGAAATCATATCAAGATGCGTCCGGGGATGTCGGTCGCATCAGAGATGATCCCACCCCCTGCAGGTCTGTGGCAACCCTGCATTAAGCACCATTGGATGTACAAGATTGGATGGCCGCTTAGAAAAATAAGGAAATTAATTCCCAAATGGAGGGAAGCTTTTTTTTCCATTATAATTTTGTTGTATATGTTCAGAATAATCAATAATACTTATTTTAATAATAAAATAAAATTGATTAATATGAGAAACATTTTTTATGTCTCACAGATGTTACAATTCAACGGACATTAAATGTTTCTGCAACATTCAATCTACATTTCGCGATGTTACTGCAATGTTCGCAGTGTTGCAAATCAACGTTTCTGAGATATTGATTCAACTTTAGTGTGCTATATGGGAATAACATATTTTTTTCAAATTTTTTTAACAATTTTAACTCATGCCATCGGGAAAAACACCTTTGTGGACAAAATTCGATCGACATTCTAATTTTTAACCAATTAAAAAATTTTTTTTTAATTTACTTAAAATGAATGAGCTAAAAGCTCCTTTTGCGTAAATTTTTATTACGGTAAATACGGTCCAAAGTAAAAATTGCCGATCCAATATTCGTTATCGTGTAATTTTGATTTTTTTATGAAACTTGTCGTCTAATAACACGTTTCGATCTATATTATGTATTCTCAATATTTATCAAATTAAAAAATAATTATAACAATTATTAAAATCAGTAAGAAGTATAAGTGTAAAAAGAACCGAGAGTTAGCGCAAGCGTTTTAGAATAAAAACTAAACTGGGCTCTCGAAAAGTTCTCAACCATTTTCCAATTTTCGCAATCGAGATATTAATTTTTAAAGCGTTGAATATTCTTCATCAATTACTTGCCGCATGGAGACTGCTTAGCAAGCGTTTCGCGCCGCGCTCGCCACTCCTAGAGATCCTATAATCAGAGTTTGATGAAAGTGGGCACAACTTCTGATTCTTCACTTTGGTCCACTCAGTATTCTTCGAATAGCTTCGTACACTGTCGGAAAACGAGTGTGAAAAAAAGAAAGAGATAGATAGCTACAAGCAGATGAGTAAAACCTGTGTCATAAAGGTTAGAAATCGCTCCGAGATCTCAGACAAAGAAAATTAACAATTGCACAATTCGGCCAATTGATCAACTCAATTGATTTCTTGTCATCACGTATTCTAACATTTTTTACGCATGCGTTCATATGAGAAAGCAATATCTGTTATCTCTTTCTATCCGCCCTTTTTGGTCCACATTCGCCAAATTCTGATTATAGGATTTCTAGCTATTCTCACTCCCCGCGGCTCATGTGTTAAGTCATCAATGGACATACACTTGGCAATAATAGGCCGAGTGGACACTTATCTTCGGTTATCTTTAACAATCAGTATCTCGTTAACCATTGCAAAATAATAAAGGACTTTTCGATTCAGTTCCGCTCTATCCACACGAAAACGCTTGGTAAAAATTTACGGGCACCCTGTATATACGTATATAGTATATACAAGTTCACATGGAATTATTTCAGCGGGTTTAACAGTGGAGTGAGTGCTCATTGTTATTGATGTATTCTTTTAGCTTATCCAATCAGAATTTTAGATTTAGAAGAATACGCTAATAGCAGCGAATGCTCATTCAACTTTTGAGACCGTTGAATGCGCCCATTTAAGCATTAAAAATCCATCCCGTTATGGGCCTTATTTTCTATTAGTTGTGTTTCATATATACAATCCAAAAAGAAGGTTCTTATTATTTATATAATTTTAATTTTTAGAATGATTTTTTAACAAAGAATTATTTTCCTCGAATCGTTTTGACTAATCATTTTTAATGATAAAACGGCATAAACCTTACACGTTAATATAGTATAAAACTTATGTTTGCTATAACCCCACCTCCCGTGTATATATTAGGTGTTGGAATTAATTCGTAGCGTTTTACAAGTGATGGGAAGTACTTTCATTAATGTATTTTTTAATGCTCATGTGAAATAAATAACATTCTTTCATTAAAAAACGCTACGAATTAATTCCAACACCTAATATATATATATAATATTATATATATATGTGTGTGTGCGTGCGCGCGTACGTGCGTGTGTCAATTACATGATTGCTCTCTTGAAATAAAACAATGCAAATCGCTATGACATCAATAAGAGTGTGTTTATTCATTAGTCAATAATTGTTTACAATTACATGTTAAAACTATGTGCCCTCCGTTGGTAAATTGGGATAAAAATGATTCCACGGTTTATTTATTTTATATTACATATGCAATATGTTTATTTTACGTATGTAGTCTCGGTTAATCTATTATATTTTCACAACTCGTTCACAAAATGTCTTAGCGATAGAAATCATTTAGGTAAGTGATAATATATCCCTCCAATTCTTGTCTATGTCAAAGATTGTTTATGCCTATGCTGCTTTTATGATATAAATTCAAATAAAATTTTACATTTTATGATATTTACTTTTTGTTTACTATTTTTAGACTAAGGCAATAAGATAAAGATTTATTTATGACTATGCAACGTTTTTCTAGTTATTTTAATTACCTATAAAATATTTCAAAACTGAAGCAATTTATTTACAATATGTAATACTAGTCAAAGTGTGTTTTTGTTTAATTTAAAGTATAAATTTATGAAGTATATGAATGCACTATAAAACTATATTTTTATCTATAAATAAACAGGGAATAAAGTTTTATATTATTATTTATTTCTTTCACTTATTTTGTATATTAATTAGATAAAAAATGAACACGGATCGGATCGATATTACCTTGTTAGACATATCCTGAAAGTCCATCTTGCCAACGGAGAGTTAAGGATGTTTTGTCCATATAATATCATCTAAAAACATCAATCAAATAATCAGCCAAAAATGGCGGTAATTACGTAAAATAGCGATAATTACGTAATCAAATATCTAAATAAGTATATTTCAGGCGACTTCACAGATTTTAATAACCTTAACATATGTTGTTAAGATTAAAATCATCGCGCAGAGGGGGGTTCCTTATTTGTAACCTTTTATGTAACCAAAAATTAAATAACTTTTAAACTAATAAGAAAATTGTGCTCAAATTTTACATAAAGGCTCAGATGTAAAAGTAGAATAATATGTAAAATTATTGTTAAATTCCTAATATTTTGAAAATAAGTATTAAATAAATTTGTTGCAAAAATTAATATCCTTATAACTTTGAATCGCTTTAATAAATCGATTCTGAATTTTATCATAAGTCTTCGAACATATTTAAGAACAATCTTATAATTTTTGTTAAGTTTCTAATATTTTAGAAATAAATACTAAACATCTTTAAAACTTATTATTTCTATTAATCTATTAATCTCAGCATCGAACGTTTAAGCGATATAGATAATATCTGTTTATTCCGCCTTATTACTGAAGATGACTTAATTTACCGAAATGTTTGCAAAAAATTGTTCGAATTTATTAAGAAATATTCTAAAAATCAAAAAATTATATAATCTCTGATATTTACGGTGTGTCAAATTCATTTTATCGTTCAATATACTATTATAGACATTCAATATACTATTATAGACTAAAATAATAACTAGCGTGGCTCATTGCTCTTTCATTATTTAACTTAAATTTTAATTTGTTAAGCTTATTATTTTATCTAATTTTTAATATTATAATATTTTAGGAAGCACACGTGAATACATGTTACAAGCATTTCTACTATTTTGTAACAGAATTTGATTTAATTAATTCTAAAGAATTAGAACCATTAGCCGAGATGACTGCTAAAGTTTGTAAGGATAGTATTTCTCCTACTCAAAACACAGTACCAAGCAATCAAGGCAGATAGTTATTTCGTTGCCACATTTGACAAAATTGATTATTTCAAATTATAATAGAACAACAAAACTTCCAGAAAGATAAGAAAAAAAAACCATAATAAATTTATTCATTTCATGTGACAATATAGTTTGTGATTTTAATTGTATACTTTCTTAACTATGCGCTTTTAAAAATAATTTGCTGCAGGAGATATCAGTAGCGTTTTAAAAATTCCTTATCTTATGTGCATCATCTTATTGTAAAGATTGTTTTATTAGTTATATATTTGTGTGTGAAAATATAAGAAAATATTTTTTTTTCAATTCAAAGAAAAATAAAAAAGAGACTCGAACTAGTTAGTTGTGCTAGTATAAATAATTTTTCAAATTTTTCTTTTATAAACAAAAGCGTTGAAAACATATTCAAATAATAGTAACCCTTACCCAACAAGATACAATTTAATATAGGGCATTTAGGAATCCGCGCTGTAATCAATGCGCTTAAGTTACTGGACGACCTTCAATATATTTAAATGTATTTAACATAATTGAGTACAAGTACATTTCGGCTAAATTCTAGCTTTCTTCAGCTTAACATCGTTGACAAAAGAAAACAATTACACACCTGGAAACCTTCGGCAATTATTATCCATGACCAGTTAATACGCTAAATGGTCTCGTAGAAATACAATTATGTTAAATTCAAATATACTGTTACATTCAAATATACTGAGGTTTGACCAGTAATTTAAGCGCATCGATTACAGCGCGGATTCCTAAATGCCCTATTTATGTATTATCAATTAAGTTGTTATTATAATAGAAAGAATCATGTTACGGTCACTTACAATATATAAGATACAATTTGATGCCTCATCCATACAAATGGAGGAACATATGTTGTTAAGGTCATGATTCTAAGTGACCTCCAACAGGATTTAGCCGTCACTCATTATTCATTAAAAACTTATTAACAAAAATATTTGAAAAAAATAACGTTTTCCTGCTATATCTATTTCTGCTGTATATATGCTATTAAAAATTATTCTATAAAATTATTTCCTTCCTTGTTTACGTAATGACTTCCCACGCGAAGGAAATTCCATCCCACCTTCCTTCCAAGGAGCATTCAACTTTACACCCGAAACGACTTTCAGCTACCTGCTCCCCTGCTAAAAATAAAGCTCTAGATATATTAAAGTAGCGAAATCTTTTTATCTGAGCCGAAATGCCGACAATTTTCCTATCGACTATTTCGATCGCCATTTTGAATCTAGTGGCCTGTAGACTAGGAATAAGCGCTTAGTATTATTGGTATACGTTAGATTTTTAATAGGTTTGAGATTTAACCAGACACTGAACTTCCAATATGCGTATTTATTTTAATATAATATAATACAAAGAAGAGATTAGACAATCACAACACACATCTTACACAAACACGTGTAGTGGCTAAGTTATAAATCTGCAGAACAAAGAGAACCTGTCAGACAAAGAAAAGGAGTATACAGCGCTGATTAATATAAGCTTTCAAATACTACATGAATGAAATTCATGACATTGAATCATGAAAATTAAAGTAATAATTTTCAACAGTATATGGTACAGCTAGTAAGTAAAAAATGGAAGACCTTTGCGCTACTTTAGTATATCTAGAGCTTTACTGCTAAGGGGCGCACGACTTTCCACGCAAAGCGAAGTTCACTCCATTTTCGCGTGAAAAATCGCGCATATCTTGGCAAAAAAAAAATTGGGGTGAAAGTCCCTTTGTGTGAAAAGTTGTATTCCTTGAATTCATCTCCCTCATATCTCTCTCCGTATCTAAAAATATCTGATTCTTCATGTAAAGCAGAAAAATAATTACTAACTTTAACTGCTAATAACTTTTTAACGAATAACGAACGACGGCTAAAATCTGTTGGAGGTCTCTCAGGGTCATAACCTTGACAACATATGTCAAGGTCAAAGTCATTGGGGCTAGGTCTTCTCATCGATACTTTTACTCATCTCTGAACTGAATAATAAATGCTTTGTGAACCTTATCAGTAAAACTAACATACCGAAAGAAGTGCACACTTTATTACAACTGAGTGCAGGTTTTTGTTTACCGCTACAAAATGTTGAAATCGCCACAATAAAACTTATTAAACATATAGAACATATCTTATGCAAATTAAAGATCTCTAAAGCTAATGAATTCATAAAGTTCTTTATTAATTCGCAATATTAATAAAAACAACTTGACGGAAAAACGGAAACACAAAATACTATATGTACATAGCTTTCAGTACCTAATCGTTCATAAAGAATAAAGAACGACCGCAAAAAATGTTTTTCCTCGATTTTATAATCAAATTTTATGCCAAATAATAGTTTATATGATGAGATATTATATATAAAAGAATTTTATTGAGCATGTAGTTGAGCATTCAGAAATATATAGCGTCAAAGGGATCACCAATTACAAAGAAAATGTAATACTAATAACGCTTTATATTATGAATTTTTGTTGAATTTTTTCTGAAGTCAGTATCTATGGATTCTTTGAGTTATTGATTACAAATCTGATGTTAGATTTTAATAATTTAAGATGGCGGATACAATATGGAGACACAAATACTGGAATCATTCTGCACTTCTATGGAAACTGTTATATTGTGATTTTTTCAGCTTGATTATGCATTTTCTATCACAGTTTGAAAAATAATCAATGACAATTTTTGAATGGAAAAAGCATTCTTTAATTATTTTTTTCATAAAAAAAATAGCCCTAAAAAAGTAGCCGCAAAAAAAGAATAGTCATAAAAAAAGATAGTATAAATACCAACTTTTAAAAAAATTCAACAAAAATTTATATTAAAATGTTGTTAGTGTCATATTTCCTTACAAATACTTGATGACCCTCTATATTTCTGAAACCAATCGAATGCTGAACGTAAAACTTCTTTGTGATTTATGTCTCATCATGAGCTATCATTTAATAAAATTAGATTCATTCCAAAATCGAAAAACAAGCGAAAAATCCACTCTTTTCGCGATCGTTTTTTTTACGCATATAAGTCCCTAAGAGTAACATTGTGGTGGCTTTAGACAAAGATGATTACATATAAAAAATGGAAACCTTTACTCGACAAACACTTATATAAGTATTACTCAAAATCCGATGAACAAACTCATTACTGAATTTAATCCTCATCACGTGTACGTTCTTTTAGTACCCATTAAGTGTATATGGAAGTCATTAATGTTCATATTTTTTAAAATGGATTGAGTAATTCAAAAAATATTTAAAAATTCATGTAGCTTCCTTAACTATTCTAAATGAAAGATTTATATATAATTTAACAAATTTATTTATTTAAATATTAATTATTTGCAAAAATGTAAATATAAATGTGAGTATGGTAGTGGTACATTCAAAAATTTGTAACTTTTGATCAGATCAATGAAATCTAATGACTAAGTAAGGAAAATACAGTTCAAAGTTCATATTTTAATTTTTAAAAAATGCCAACAAATTTTTTTAATTTAAATGCTTAAGTTTGGGACATAAAATCTTACAATTTCGAAACTTATAAAAATATAACGTTCATATAAAATAAACGTTCATATAAAAAATTGACATTTAACTTTAAAAATTCATTTTTTATTCAAAATCTGTAATCTCATACATTTTTTTGAATAAAAAAATACATACGGGATGATATTGTAAGAGAATGAAGAAATTGTAACATATCTCTTCTGCAAAGTGATTTTTGTTCTAATTGTAAGATAACACTGAATAAAAACTTTTTCATTATACATATATGTGTGTTTTACTTATAAAAATAGTCAAGAAAAAACATCATTTTCTTATTTGTACTACAAATAGGACAGACCGAGGCTCGTTGGCATAAGAGACAAATTGACATTTGGTTTCCGTTTATATATTTATGATAACGGAAACAATGGAGAAGTTACTGCAAAATATTTCTTTTACAACATAGGTACTATTCCCTAAGTTTCATTTAAATAAAACAAATACTACAATAGAAAAAGGAAAAAAATCTGATTCAAGAATAGGCAAGTGCCTTTCATAATTGCATTATTAATGCATTTATTAATACATTTTTTTATTTGAAAAAGGAAATCTAAAATCTACAATCTAATGTATTATTAGTTAAAAGAAAAGTGTTTGTTTGTATACAACACATTATTTTAAATAACAATGACAATTTGTTATAATAAAATGATCAAAATCAGACGTGTGCAGGGATGTAGCACGTTGGCTCATATCATAAAAAAAGGTTAGGTTGACTTACTGTACTATACATATGACCATTCAATTACAATTTAAGATCGACAAAACATTTTGTATTTAATTTCTATATTAAAAGTAAGGTAGAATTAAAATAATTTATACTTGTTTTTCTGTAACAACATTTTGCTGTTTAATTATTAGAAAATAACTTTGAAAGATATAATTTTTATTAATTATAAGAAATATAATAGTAAGAAGCACAACAGTAGAAGTATATACCAGGTGTATGCATAAGTTTTTTCCGGTTTAACTAAGAGATGGCGAAAAGTACGCAGCGTATTAATTTGACACATACGCCATTTTGTTCGTCTGACATTTAATTACAAATACACACAAGTTGAGTCCACCAAAAACTAGCGTCTTTGTTTTATCGTTCAGTGATCATGTCGAGTTTTGTGCCTGAAAAAGAACATTTGCAGCACGCATTGCTTTTTTTATTTAATCAAAAGAAAAAGGCTGTTGAAAGTCATCGTTTGCTGGTAGAAACATATGGTGAACACGCTCCATCGATTAGAACGTGTGAGACATGGTTTCGACAATTTAAAAATAGTGATTTCAATGTGAAAGACAGTGAGCGCTTTGGTAGACCACAAAAATGCGAAGACGAACAATTGCAGGAGTTATTGAATGAAGACCCAGCTCAAACTCAACGGCAATTAGCAGAAGCATTACATGTATCACAAGAAACAATCAGCAGACGTTTACGAGCAATGGGAAAGATCAATAAACTCGGTAAATGGGTCCCACACAATTTGAATGAACGTCAAATGGAAAATTGCAAAGTCACTTGTGAAATGCTGCTTCAAAGCTACG